AAAAGTAGAAAGGACTCTTTAAATAAGATCATAGAGTTGCAATCACAATTTTATCACCTTTTTTTTTAGTCAAATACTTTTTCTATGATTTTTGTAATGCATGAATGCAATTGTATTTGCAAGGAAATATCTTCAGACTCAATTCACCTGCATGGTAGAAAGAAAATAAAAATGAAGTGTTCAATGTTTATTAAACCATATTCTTCTGCTTCTTCATGAAAAGGAATCTAAGAAGAAATACAGTATGTATGCATCAGCTGAGAGGTTAGCAGTAATGGTGGACAGTAATGGTGAATCTCCCAACAGAATCCTGAAGGGCTTGTTTCATTAGCCTGTTTTAGGGAAACTAGTGCTTTTGATTTGTGGGACTCAGGCCTTGCTGTTATATAATTTCCCTTTGCGTATTTTAAATAATTGCCATTGATTGTATTTTATAAATGACTGGATATAGTATAGGGTAATTGAGAAGTTACATAGCATAAAGATAAGAATCCTAGATTGGGAATGGAAGACCTAGATTGCTTTTCTAGCTTTGCTACTAGTTTTCTAGGTTGCCCTGTGCAAGCCATCGTTCTTTGCTGAACCTCAGTATCTTCATCTTAAAATGGTGATTTCTATGCTTCTTTCCAGACTAACATTCTGTGACTCTGCTGCTGTTCATTCTGCTGTTCTTTCCTTAACTTTCACGTAACAACTCTGGAGTTGCATAACTGAGACAGTGATATACCCTAGCATGGCATAAAATGCAAAGGCATGACAGTACTGTAAGAGAGCATAACTAATAGACATAAGATTTAGAGCACATTTAAATGTTCAACATTCATCCCTTCATGTATTGAGCTCCTGCTATGCCCACTACAGAGGCAATGGGGACAGAGTTATGAAAGGACACTCAAGTCTTGGCTCTCATGGACTTGGCTCTTATATTTGGTGAGGGGTGGGGTGTGAGGGGAAGCACAGAAAACAAAGGGATAACTAAATATGTAATTTGTCAGGTGGTGATAAGNAGTTGCATAACTGAGACAGTGATATACCCTAGCATGGCATAAAATGCAAAGGCATGACAGTGCTGTAAGAGAGCATAACTAATAGACATAAGATTTAGAGCACATTTAAATGTTCAACATTCATACCTTCTGTACTCATTTATGCCTTCATGTATTGAGCTCCTGCTATGCCCGCTACAGAGGCAATGGGGACAGAGTTATGAAAGGACACTCAAGTCTTGGCTCTCATGGACTTGGCTCTTATATTTGGTGAGGGGTGGGGTATGAGGGGAAGCACAGAAAACAAAGGGATAACTAAATATGTAATTTGTCAGGTGGTGATAAGTCAATGTAAAGTACCATTTGAGCAGAGACTGCTGTGAAAGGAGGGAGCTACCTGGTAACAGCAGCAAGTACAAAGGCACTAAGATGGAGTGCACTTGGCATATTTAAGTAAAGCAGAGAGGCCAGTATGACTTGAGTGGTGTTAGCAAGGGAAAAGTGGGAAAAAATAAATTCAGAGAGGTAACCAGGGGCCAGATCATATACAGCCTTGTAGGCCATGCTAAGGATTTTCAATATTACTCTGAGAGTAAATGGTCTGACTTACATTTAAAAGGATCACTGAGTGCTCTGTGGAGCATGGCTATAGAGGGGCAAGTGTGGAAACCGGGAGATCAGTTTAGGTAGGTAGGAAGATAGATGCCCAATAAATATCACATATTTATATTTATTTATGTTGCTGTTATAATATATGTCTGCCAGTATTTTGCTGCATGCTGGCGATGCAACGATTAATAAAAAAGATACTCTTTGCAGTATAGGGAGGGAGATTGCCATTGATGTTTTTGGGATTTTGTTGATCGTGTTCATTTATTCTGGAGGGAAACTATTGAATAGTCTCTGGAAGACTGAAGAAAAACAGACTGATTGAATTTGTAAGATTGAGGAGGAATAGGATTTCACTGTGTGGAAAAGTGTCAGTGTTGACTGTGGGACACCTGAATGCCAGAAGGAGGGTGTTGGTTCATGTGGTGAGGTGGAAAGCAGAATATGACCAAATGGTTGGGAGTAATGGCCAGGAAGGGTTAGGCCTTATAGTGCTCCTTGTGTTTTAAAATGGATGGTAAGGAGCCGGGTATTAAAGCAGGAGGAGATGTTGTTACAGGATGTAAAGTGGAATCTGACTATAATAATCAAAAAAGGTTGTTGAGCACCTATTTGTACATGATGCTTAACTAAATGCCTTCAAAAGGAGCCATGGGATTGCAGCCCCTGCCCTCTAGGAGTTTAGGACCCAAGCAGGTGACAACATGTGACCAACCTAGTGCTTACTGGTACACCAGTAAGTCATTAGAGAGTAGAGTAAGGTCCTTGGCATGTGCCTTATGCCAAATTCATTTGGAGTCAAAAGTAAAGAAAAATGTGATAGGGTAGGGAAGTAAGTTTTGAGTCCATAAATGAGAAATTGTGGATAATTCAATAATGAAGATTACAAGAGAACCCCAAGTTTCTTTTCCTCCTAGGGGCCGATGTGATGAGAACATTACCAGAAGGGATAGGGAAGTTAGCCCGGAAGAAGTACAGTACTTGAAGGCCACGATTCTTCTTTGTTTTTATCACAGTGCTCCTCAAATAGATGTGGTAAATCCTGTTTAAAATCACTATAGACAGGGCTGGCCAGTTAGTTCAGTTGGTTAGAGCATGGTGCTCATAACACCAAGGTCCAGGGTTCAGTGCCCATACTGGCCAGCCACCAACAATATAAAAAAATAAAATCACTATAGACAGAAGTGTGAATCTCAACAACATTTTAGAATCTGACGAATAAATTGCATTGTGAAATATAGTTGACACTTTTAAAGAATTGCTTCTCTTCTGTTTATTCTCATTTTTCAAAGCCAGATTCCCTTTCTAGGTATGTGTTCTGAAGAGTAGAAACTGACTCATTCGTTAATTCTTACTTAAACACTTGCTGTGTGCTAGTCCGTGGAGAGTGGGGTACACAAAGCTGAGAAGACCCTCCCTCTGGTAGAAAAGAAAGTCCCCTTAAGCCCAGAACCTTTTGATAAGTCTTCAGTAGAGATGTTTATGAAGGACTCTGAGCCATGGGCGTGGGGGGAGTGTTTCACAAAGGAGTTGACATGTGAGTGGAATTGCTCTTGAAGGGAGTTTGCCACTAGAAGAAAGAGGTAAAAGATGGAGGGTTCCTCTCCTCATCCCCCAGCACACTCCCAAGGTGTATCCCTGTAAACACTAAGGAGAGATTAAATGTCAAAATACGCAAGGCCTCACCCAGTACTATTCACTACCTATTTGTGTGCATACATTCCTCAAAGTGTTTGAATCATCCAGTTTATTCCCCGGGGGTACATGTGGTAAAGAAAAAATTGGATAAAAACATAGGAAACTGAGCAAAGGAATTTCCCTGAAATTACACAAGACTCCAGTAGAGTCAAAATGGGAGCTAGAGTTTTCTGTCCCTTCTACCTCTCTCTAGCATCACTTCCCCCAGTCACATAAACTCATCTCTGAGGTTTGGAGATGCAAGGATGAGAAGGTTGCCATCATTGTTCTAAACTCCTAAAACAATGAGGTTCCCCCTTGCCTGCCTTCTTCCTACTGCCCCTTCTCTTGTTAATGTCTGTCACAATCCCCAGGGGGTCATAACAAGGCCTCGCACCACACTCTTTCATAAAAGATGATGCTACATGCCATCAAAAAAAATCACAGACAGGTACGTTCATGCCTCAAGCAAAGAATCTTTAATATCAGACTCTCTTTTATCCACAGACAGAATTGTTCCATCTCCTTTCAGTTCCACGTCCCTCTGTTTGAGGGATAAAGTGTTTCTCTTCCAGGATTTTGTCAGCTGGATGTAGTATTTGGAGGTGGCAGAAGTAACGTAAAGATGGGAATTATCCTTAAGAAGGGAAAAAATGAGATTATTCACCCTGACTAGATGGGAGGAATTTGGCCCCCTTTTCTGCTGTTTCTG